CGGTTTTGTCCAAATCATTTACTCCCTAAGTTTATTAGCGTGAAAACTTGTAGCCTATGGCGTGTCGTAAGTGTAGTGTATTTTATTGAAAAATACTGTGGTTGACGTCATCCTACATGACTGAGTATTGTGTTTACGTTTAATTATGTTAGTGTTTAGTATTATAGCTATGTTATGTATTCTAAATATCAGATAATCATAAATATGAATTTATTTTCATCTTAACAGTGCGAAAAGAAATAACTTATTTTTAATTTTTTAGTCATCCGTACAGGTTATCAAGGAACAATAATAAAAAGGGAAATGAAAAGATGACTCTAAATTTTTTCTTCATTCTGTAACTTCTAATACAATGTTAAAAATGTACAATGACAAAATCCGTCGCGCGATTTCCAGAATACTGCATTTTAAGCATTTGATTTCTGCCTGAACTGCCCTTTTAAACATTTGCCAACAACTCGTACGAACTTTTGCATTCCGTGCCAGCACCCAAAACTTTATTATGAGCAATTCCCTTCCGGCGACGAAGGTGTGGAATGATGCAATTTATGTCTTTTTTATTGTACACATACGTAATACAATACGTAGGATACATGAATAGAGAATACATGAAGCAGAAACGTTAATGTTAAGATGGACGTGTGGGGTAACACGTATGGATAAGATACAAAATGATTTTATTACAGGAACTTTGAAAGTAGCCACTGTGGTAGAGAGATTAAGGAGTAAAAGGTTAGCGTGATATGGGAATGTTAGAGGTAGACCTAGAAAGAGATGGACGAATTGCGTGAACGGTGACATGATCAAGAAGAGAATGATGATTGAGATGACGCATGATAATTATTTGGAGGACGAAAAAACCGGAGCGCCGACCCTACGGGAGTAGGATAAGGTAGGGGAGATGATGATGCGTTGTTAGTAATGATTCAGGAATCAGGAAGTGTTACTCTATTTCTACTAATTTTATAAAAAGTAAAGATGTGTTTATTTGTATGTATTCGATTCCCGTAAAAACTACTGGGTCGATTTTCAAAATTTTTTCACATTAAGAAAGGTAATTTATCGGTGAACATCATAGGCTATTTTTATTATTATACTAATTTCATGCGGACGAAGTCGCGAGCAACAGCTGATGAGTGATTAAAAGTATTTTAAAATTGGATTTCAAGATTACGTGCATGTAAAGGTTTGCAATGTGTCTTTAATATTAGATTGGAATTATTCACTGCGAGATCAAACATGAATATAAATTTCTGAACACAGACTTAATGAGACGAGTCTAAAGCTGTTAGGTATATAAGGTTTATATATTAAAATCGACGAGCCCCGACTTCGCACTAAGTATCCAAAACATCCATACCTACCTATGCCGGCGCGACGTGATGGCGGCTGCTGTCTGCGACGCAACATTTTCTTCGTGAACGAACTGAAATATTGATCTATGCTCTAATTAGTGAAAGGCGAGTTATGATTCGTTCGTAGTTTTCTTATTATGATACAAGGTGACAAACGAGAAAGCAGCCACCCTAATTCGGCCAAATAAGGATGCAACCTTTAGTTAACAGAGGATGATGATGGCTAAAACTGTATTATTATGTTTGTTACGCTTTGCGCCTCTATATCATTCCATTTTGTATGCAATTAAAATTGCCTCCTGGACATATGTTTTGTTAAACCATTAGAATTTATGTAGATGAAACAATTTCAAATTCAATCGAATTCAAACTTTTTTTAGTAGTTATGCACTTATATCTATGGGTATATTTAGTTTGATTCATACTAAAAAAAACTATTAAAATGGCCAAAGTGCCTTTTAGCTTTTATTAACTTTTTATTTTGTATGTGATTTTCATGTTTTCTTTCATTCCTGACTTATGGTTTATATTTTTTCGTATAATGATGCTTACATCATCATTAACCATTGTCCTTACGGAGGGTGGATACGCGATTGTGTGTGTATTAGTACATGAACGAATTTCCGAGTATTGAAAATGAAAACTTTTGCGAACGAAGATAAACTTTTAAAAGGAATCAGCGAAGCGGAAAGTCTGACCGTTCACGAATTTTGCATAAAATATTTTACATGATGCCTTTTCTCTTTGATGTCTGGTTTTCATTAACTCATTCAGTTCTGTCTACGAGTATAAAAAATAAAGCAATTCAAATACAGACAGCAAGTCAGGGCTAATAAGCGAGGCACAGCTATGGCGGTTAGATCTGTCAGAGCACATAGGTATCATTGAGGTGTTTTAGGTATGAAGCAATTAATATAGATTTATTGCGGGCGCGCACATTTAACTAAATTGTCGCACAACCGCTGTGCGATTGTCAATTGTTTCGCAATCCATTCAGATGTTTAGTTGCACAACTAAAAATCGAGTAAAGTGCGCACCTCCATTTAAGCGCGACTAAACAGTTGTGCGATAGTTTAGTCAAAGGTGTGCGCGCTCTGTTATATTAACTTTGTATACTTTGGAATGGCCTAGTCACCTTATAAGGGTAGGCTCCGTGCCCCACGGAGGGGACGTATAGTGAGCTGGTGATGATGATGGTGATACTTTGGAATTGTCATTGGAATCATCCTTTTATATACAAAACAATAATTTTATCCACGACATTGATTTTCACGCAATACAGCTTTCGGAAACTATTTTTTACCAGAAGTATTTTAGTATTAGTATAAGTGACGCTTTTTCATATTATGAGGTGGCAAACGAGTAAGAGGCCATCTGAATTCGCCGAAATGGCAAAGCGACCGCTGCCCATAGTCATCCCCAATTGCAGTGTTGTCTATCCTTAATCGACTAATCCTTTGCGTCTCCTCCGTCGTCAAATCCACTTTTCCAACCTTTCCTCTTAAGAAAAAGGTAGAAAGGACGGAAAAGTGAAAGTAAGAAGGAATGAATAAACGATGAAGAGAGATATTATAGTTGTAATTCATTTTTCTCTTCTAATAGAATAGTCCGTTTTTTATTGAAATTCATATAAATGCATTTAAAACTGTTTTATTATAATGTGATTCAATTTTGTCCGGCAGCATTGTTCTGTATTAGGTTACCTGTTCGTAGAACCTCCCTTTGTTCAGGTACTTAATTAAAGTCTGTGAGATACAACAAAGGACAGACGCATTGGATTCGGGGGGAGTTGGGAGAGGGGGAGGCTTAGATCTCTCTCCCCTCAAAATCATCGGAACTCATCCGTTTCAAATTTATTAGTGATATTGTGTGGTAGTTTTTTTATTCATGCATCCCTGCTATACGGCCACCCACCTCCTCTCTCCCTCGATTCAAATCCTCGGTTAAACAAAAGGTTACATGACGATATAATAAAAACAAAGTTTGTTATTCAGAATTTTATTTGGATTATATGAATGAATGTAATTTTGACAATCACCTACTTTTTACATTATAAGCGTACATTAATTATAACTACTTTTTTTTTTTTTTTTTGGGATGGACTACAAACCAGTGGACAGTGGCGAAACATGTAATGTACATATAATGTAATCTTTATACTGTAAAGAATTTTGGACTGGATTAAGGTAATGGGACGAACGGTAAATGGCCGTAGTATATTTTTTAATATTACTATTTTTGAATGTTATATCCTTATTATCTAAAAAAGACTTAACATTATTTCTTCTTTATTACTAAAGCATTACATCACACTACATGTTAATATTATATATTGCATTTTAAATAGACCTGGCTCTCAGAAAAATGTAAGCAATAATAATTTAAATCTACCTTACTTAAACTTATGACATAATCAAAGCAATTAATATTTTTTATATCTCAGAAAAAAAAACAACATTTATAATGTCAAGAATCTTGGAATTTATAATTTAAAAGACACAAGAATTAACATACCAGAACACAAGAATAATATTACAAAGTAAGACCGAAGAAAGTATGGATGGATTGTATGAAAGAGGACATGCTTAAGAAGGGAGTGGATTCAGATATGACGGCTGATAGAAATGTATAGAAGAGCAGCACGTACTGTGCCGACCCTCCGTAAGGGATAAGGGTAAATTGATGAATACAAGAATAATATTTTTAAATTAAATTATATGAAATCTTAACTATTTGATGTCATGATGAATAATAAATTTTACATCACACATTATGTGAAAGAACATATCTTTATATCAATGTTTTAAATGTATATATTAAGTATTACATTCATTACAATGTTTACGTAGCTTATAAACTATACCTACACTATAAATGCTTTACAATTTAGAGGACAAAGAGTTAAAACAGGCATCAAAGAATGTTTAACGTTGTTTTAAGGTAATAAAGTAAATGTATATAAAAGCTGTTGTTACCGTCTATAGATTGCCTTAAATCAGAAGTTAACTTTCGCCATACACGGACCGAATTGCAGCATTGAAACAATTTGTTAATCTAATAATTCTCTTTGTCAAACAGAGATTACAACGGGTGTTAATTAAATTGTAACTGTCGCCTCTAATAGACACACAATTTAAAATTAGTCTTACGTGACGGTTATAATGATGGTAATGAGGAAAAGAACATGATGTTCTCTCTTCAATTTTCTTGTCATAAGTTTTAATTATTAATAGTTATTTTTTTTTTCTCGTTTGAATTTTTTTGTTCAAGTGTATTATGTTGCAATGTGTTTTTGGAGTGATTAAATGTTTAATATTATTATTACATTATAGTAAAATGCTGATTGTTGCTTAGAAAAGTCACAATTTTAAATATTCAGATATCACATTGATAAATATTGATTAAAATTAAACTTTCCCACGAACGAAAGCTGTTAAGTAGGCAGAAAAAAGGAAGCCAAAATTTTAACGTTTATAAATCATGCTTACGTTTTAATAAGAGTATAATGACAATTATAGATCTCTACTTGAGCTTACTTCACTTATATTTATTTTATAAGCTACTCTAATAAGATAAGTGAATAGAAGAAGTTTTCTTACAAGCGTATTCACTTTTAGCCGTTGAAAGTGACTATCTTTCTTTTCTTTAATCCTAAAAGAAACGAAAGAGTTTATGAATTAATTAATATATATGTTATTTTACAATTTTATTTTTATCTTATTTAGATACTTACGTTCAATTGTTCAGCGAAGGAATCATATTTATCGTCTTCAGTCAGATATAAAGCATAATTGCTGTCGTCCGTAAAGCTATCATTCAACCATACAACTGACTCCCCTGGATCTGTACAAAAAATTACAACTGTGTTTATCTATATCCATCTTTACTTTATCATATATAAATATTACAAATGCGAAAGTTACGATGGATGAATGCATGGATGGATGTTTGTTAGCGTTTGTAGTCTAAGCGGCTGAACGAATCTCCATGAAATTTGGCACAGGTTTAGAGCATAGTCTGGAAGAACACATAGGCTACTTTTTATCCCGGGAACCACGCGAACGAAGTCGCGGGCAACAGCTAGTATACTAATATAATAAAGTTAACACACACTACTTCATGGAGTAGGATGTCAGCAATTACAGCATAAATTTGAATAATTCTTTCATTAAATTTAGGGTAAATAAATACAAAAAAAAACTTAATGTAAGAAAAAGACCATAACCTACAAGCTGACAACATCAAGGTTGCCATGGAACCAGTAATTGTCATCCAATGTCAAAGGCCTTCATTGTCATTTGTGCATTTGAATTTTGATATTTACAATTGAGAATTTGAAAAGTGTTAACAAAAAAATTAATTTTTAATGTTAAGATGAAGCCACATGGAACAGTTATATAATTAACGAGTTTAAAAGCGCGGAACGATTGCTAATTTTAGTCGATTAAAGTTGCTTTTCAATAAATAGTAATTTTAGTTTATGAACGGCCAACCCCGAATAGGTTAATAGATGTCATCAGACGGTTTGTCTCTGCATACTTTGTATCCCAGTTAGACATTTTTATGGTGTTTCAGTAAAGATTGAAGTATTATTACACGATATTACACCTTTAAATTTTTATCATCTACCATTGTGGGCGTGCATATGCCGGAATGCGTGTGTCTAGGGAATGTTTAGAGCGGGCGAACACCTTGGACTTAACAATCGCACAACAGTTGTGCGATTGTCGATTTTCGATGGTTTCGTAGCCCATTCAACAGTTAAGTTGCACAACTAAAATCGAGTAGTGTGTGCACCTCCATATAAGCTAATAGATATCAAAGCGCGTCTAAACTGCCCCTTAGACAAATTGACTTTCGATTGAATATCGCTAGTAGAATAGACAAAATGTGTCGAAATGTGATTAAATACGTGACTAGTACGTGACTTATCAAATGTTATTGTTACTTTTCTAAGGGGGCAATTGTGCGATAGTTTAGTCAAAGATGTGTACGCTCTCTTAAGGTTAGGTGTGCCCAGGGGAAAAATAGATTTTTTTTCGCTAGAGATAGTATACAATTCCTAGTTGTCACACATTTCCAGTAACATAATACTCTTAAATAGATAGCGTCACACAATCAAATAATCTGACAAAGTCGTTAAATTAAACAAGTAATAATTTACAAGCGCGGTAAAGTTTTTTTATATGTATTTGTGATGCTATCTAAAGTAAAATAAACATTTAGTGATACTGACCGTCGAGCTGCCATGTAGAACCAATATTTCTCTCTTCAACTATATTCAGCGGGCTATCAAAAATAATTGGCACTGATTGAGTGGTTAAAGGTACAGAATGAGTGTTCTCAGAGTGTCCCATTATTGTTCTATTGTTAATATCGATATGTTCGTCTGAATTCAGCGACATATCAAAAATAGTTGGCTCAGTTGGAGTGGAAGCCGGTAATGAATGGAGGTTGCTTGAGTGACTTGTCATTGTAACATTATTAGACGTCACCGTCTCTGCCGCAGTGACCCTTTGCTTTTTTGGCCGCCTTGTCGCGTCGCTTCTTTGAGACATTGACAGACATCGCTTACATATAATTGTATTCGATTTGATAGCATTCGGAAAAATGTAACTTCTAGATGGCATATCTATTGGTGTTTGACTTTGAACATACATTCTTGTGGTTTCATGTGTGCAGCTCGTATCTAGATTGTTAGGATGTAATATTGGCTTTAGTAGTGACTGACCCGGCTGAACAGACTGACCCGACGGACCCGGTTGAACAGACT